ACCTCAGTACCGAATTTCCCTGACCCGCCATCCGAACTTCCCTGACCTACACCCGACCATTTACTACAGTGTAATCGAACATGCTATACGTCCCGACTCCCCGACGAATTTCATGTCCCAATATCCGTTACCGTCCTCCTGCCCACCCGCCAACGACCGACGACCTGAAAAATAGCCATTCGTCCCACCGCCCACTGGCCACCCATTATACCAGTCCACCGCCACTGGCCACCCTTATTATACCAGTCCACCGCCCACTGGCACCCTTATTATACCAGTCCACCGCCCACTGGCCACCCTTATTATATCACTCCACCGCCCACTAGCCACCCTTATTATACCAGTCCACCACCACTGACCCTTAATATACCAGTCCACCCACTGGCCACCTTATTATGTCCCCGCCCTGACCCATACCCGCCCACTGGCCACCCTTATTATACCAATCCACCACCCACTGGCCACCCCTATTATGTCACCCACCGCCCACTGCACCCTTATTATACCAGTCCACCACCCACTGGCCACCCTTATTATGTCCACTCCACCACCCTATTATACCACTCCACCGCCCACTGGCCACCCCTTATACCAGTCCACCGCCCACTGCACACACCCATTATACCACACCGCCCACTGGCAACCTATTATACCACTCCACCGCCACTGGCCACCCTTATACCAGTCCACCGCCCACTGGCCACCCTTATTATACCCTCCACCGCCCACTGGCCACCTTATTATACCAGTCCACCACCCACTGGCCACCTCATTATACCAGTCCACCGCCCACTGGCCATCCTATATACCACTCCACCGCCCACTGGCCACCCTATTATACCAGACCACCGACCACGGCCACCCTTATTATACCACTCCACCGCCCACTGGCCACCCTTATACCAGTCCACCACCCACTGGCCACCCTTATTATACCAGTCCACCACCCACTGGCCACCCTTATTATACCAGTCCACCGCCACTGGCCACCCTTATTATACCACTCCCACCGCCCACTGGCCACCCTTATTATACCGACCACCGCCCACTGGCCACCTCATTATACCAGTCCACCGCCCACTGGCCACACCATTATACCACTCCACCACCCACTGGCCACCCTTATTTATACCAGTCAACCGCCCACTGGCCACCCTTATTATACCAGTCCACCGCCCACTGGCCACCCTTATTATACCACTCCACCCACTGCACACTTATACCAGACCACCGCCCACTGGCCATCCTTATTATACCACTCCCACCCACTGGCACACATTATACCAGACCACCGCCCACTGGCCCACCCTATTATACCACTCACGCCCACTGAGCACCCTTATTATGTCACTCCACCGCCCACTGGCCAACCCTTATTATACCACTCCACCGCCCACTGGCCATCCTTATATACCACTCCACCACCTGGCCACACTTATTATACCAGACCACCGCCCACTGGCCATCCATATACCACTCCACCACCCACTGGCCCACACTTATTATACCAGACCACCGCCCACTGGCCACCCTTATTATACCACTCCACCGCCCACTGCACCCTTATTATGTCACTCCACCGCCCACTGCACCCTTATTATACCACTCCACCGCCCACTGGCCATCCTTATTATACTCCACCACCACTGGCCACACTTATTATACCAGACCACCGCCCACTGGCCACCCCACCCTCCACCGCCCACTGGCCACCCTTATATCCAGACCACCGCCCACTGGCCACCCTTATTATACCAGTAAACCGCCCACTGGCCACCCTTATTATGTCACCCACTACCCACTGTACCCTATTATACCAGTCCACGCCCACTGGCCCCTTATTATACCAGTCCACCGCCCACTGGCACCCATTATGTCACTCCACCACCCACTGGCCACCCATATTATACCAGACCACCGCCCACTGGCCACCCTTATTATACCAGTCCACCGCCCACTGGCCCCCTTATTATGTCACTCCACCGCCCACTGGCCACCCTTATTATACCAGACCACCGCCCACTGGCCACCTATTATACCACTCCACCGCCCACTGGCCACCCTTATTATACCACTCCACCACCCACTGCCACCCTTATTATACCAGTCCACCGCCCTGGCCACCCTTATTATCCAGACCACCGCCCACTGCACACCCTTATACCAGTCCACCGCCCACATGCCTTATACCAGTCCACCACCCACTGGCCACCCTTATTATACCAGACCACCACCCACTGGCCACCCTTATTATACCAGTCCACCACCCACTGGCCACCCTTATTATACCAGTCCACCGCCCACTGCACCCTTATTATACAAGTCCACCGCCCACTGGCCACCCTTATTATACCACTCCACCGCCCACTGGCCACCCTTAATATACCACTCCACCGCCCACTGGCCACCCATTATACCACTCCACCGCCTACTGGCCACCCTTATTATACCACTCCACCGCCCACTGGCCACCCACATTATACCACTCCACCGCCCACTGGCCACCTATTATGTCACTCCACCGCCCACTGGCCACCCTTATTATACCAGTACCGCCACGGCCACCCTTATTATACCACTCCACCGCCCACTGGCCACCCTTATTATACCAGTCCACCCCACTGGCCACCTTATGCCAGACCACCGCCCTGGCCACCCTTATTATACCACTCCACCGCCCACTGGCCACCTTATTATACCACTCCACCGCCCACTGGCCGCCTTATACCAGTCACCGCCCACTGGCCACCCCTTATACCACTCACCGCCCACTGGCCACCGCTTATTATACCAGTCCACCACCCACTGGCCACCCTTATTATACCACTCCACCGCCCACTGGCCACCTTATTATGATCCACCACCCACTGGCCACCCTTATGCCAGACCACCGCCCACTGGCCACCCATTATACCAGTCCACGCCCACTGGCCACCCTTATACCAGTCCACCACCCACTGGCCACCCACATTATACCACTCGACCGCCCACTGGCCACCCTAATTTCAGCCGACTGCTAAATTTGTCTCCGTGTCCTTGTCGACAATTAATTGACCTGTCCCCATTAAAAATAAATAAATAAATTAATAAATAAATCTGTGACAGCCAGACGACCTTAGCCAACCACCCAATCACCAACCTCTTTCCGCCAAGTCGTCAATTCCAACCACGTATTCTAACCTACCCGTCCCACCCATGCAAACAATTTCCGTGTGTCTGGATTCCTGTCAACTAACCCCCCCCCCTCACCTCACCTAACCTACCTAACCCCCCACCCTCAACTTAACCTAACCCCACCCCTCCAACTTCTAACCCCACCTTCTTCCTCACCCCTCAACCTAACCCCACCCCCTCAACCTAACCCCCACCCCTCACTCAACCTAACCCCTAACCCACCCCTCAACCTAACCCCCCTCACTCCCAACCTAACCCCACCCCCTCAACCTCCTTACCCCTCACTCAACCTAACCTAATCTAACAAGAGCGAATGATGCTGAAGCTTTTCCAGATACCAGAAATTAAATTACAAGTGGTGATAAAATTCTCGGAAAAATAAACCTCGACAAATAACAACAACAATAACCATAAACAGGACGGACGGACGGACGGACGGACGGACACACACACACACACACACACACACACAGACGTACCTCCTGATTACCACCAATTTACCTCCTGATTACAGGTAAGACTCTCACAAGATAAATTTCAACAGAGCGATGTGAGATAGACCAATTATGTCATCCCCGCTTCTCTTCCCAAACAATCACAGCAACTAATCAACCCGGTCGCTGTGTTGTTTCGTGATCTAGTTATGTGTGTTTTAAAAGAAAAAAGTGGCGTAGTTGGAACTCAATTACTCAACATGTAGATACACCAACACATCTTGTATCGGGGGAAAGTGAAAGTGGATCCCTTAAAGCCAGGGCTGCGTGTGTGTGTGTGTGTGCGCGCTAAGACTTCAGTACACAGAGAGGTAGCGTGACTGTAGTGCACTCGACCGATTTCATTTCGCCAACTAAAATATCAAGTTGGATGGAATGGCCGTGTCCTGGGATCGAACCAGTGACTCTTTAAGACAGGAGATTGGATACCCAGTCATGTCGGTATCTCGGGGAATGAGGCAGCAGATGGCCTTGCCAAGACTGGCTGTAACAAGGCCACACCTGACAACGTTGTTCCTCGAACATACTTTACAGCTTAGGACCCAAATTCGCCGCAAACAGAGAGAAGCCCGTGAAGCAGCCATCCCCACCCCCGCCCACCTGGTACGATGTCCTCCGTAAACTTCCCATCTCTCTGTCTATGGAAAGGGTCCGGAAAGGGACGTGATTGCTGCCCGTATCATCATTGTGCATTATGCAGAAGACCCGACAGCAGCACCCTTATCCACTACCTCCTAAGATGTCCCCACACACAACGCTTCCGTAACGCCTGCTGGACCACCATTCCACGACCCCTGACGGAAACACGATGATCCTCCCCTACTGGCCAGATATTATGTAAATAACATTGATTATGTGTTAAAGGAACTTCCTTCCTTCCTTAGGCTTCAGTAAGCCCCTTTATAATATTTATACTGTATGTACTTGTGACACTTGCCAGATGCTTCTGGTGTTATTGTACAGGGGTACCTAGTGACAGCACTAGGATCCCGCTTCCTCTATCAAGGAATAAACAATTGAAATTGAAAATTAAAATTGACAGGAGACGAGCTCTGTAATTCTTTTCACGGTAATGACTGATCATTAAGATCTTGCAAGTTACCTCAAGTAATTTTCATAAATTATATATGACGTGTCCGATAGAAATGCCGATTTTTTGGTGTTAATTATTACAGAACAATATTATGACATCAAAATGTGGCTGTAAGACATGTTGCCCCTCAGCTACCCGAGTATACAGTATATGTATGTGGCAGGAGTGTCTCCGTATACCCAATAAAATACTTGCCAGCATGGAGTGACGAGAAGGTAGGTAAAGGAAGAACAACTCACTGGGGACGCCGCAAGTCTGGCGGAACAGCATCTCCTGCAGCAACAGTCGCGAGTCCATCTCAGGAGCGGGCGACGGAAAGCTGTTTCGGAAACTGGGCAGCACGGTGGTGGGGGAGGAGCCCGGCTCCTGGCCTGCCCCGTGGTGGTGGTGACGGAGGCAGAGCCTTGGGATGAGGACGCCACTGCACCTTGATGTGGGCTACGCCCTGCCTCCTGCTGATGCTTGGTGATTCCTGGTGACCCGCGGTGACTGTTGTCACTAACAGGACCACCAGGCGACGACAAAAGTACCACGATGGTGTCTAGTCCGCACCTCACTGTACACACATATTTAAATCATGAGCATATTGAGCTTGTCCACACAGTCTCAACATCTATTTATTATCCTTTATAAGCAGCTAAAAAACAGATTATATCCTGTTATAGTGGCATAAACTGCTGCCACATGCTCCACTACTGCTCCTCTCACTGTGGTTTCAATAAACTATTGGACCGTGGAACAAATTTACACAATATATTACTCTTTTTCAAAACTCAGTCAAAAATATACTGGACTGTATTCTAGTAAGGTCACTTGAGTGTCAGTTTCTGGGGAGTAGGTCAGTTTGATGTGTGTGCGGGTTTGTTATACTCCACGAAGACAGCGTAACGAGTGTGCTGGACGGAGCAGTTCCACTTGTGTTAGGTAGGTCGACATTCGTGGTCCGGACGGACATACCACGCTTCTCACTGGACGGACAGTCTGATAGATTAAGTTTGTGACACTTGTATGTTCTTTGGTTTTGTAAAAAGCAAATACAAATATACACCCGTCTGTAACAATTATCACCAATATTTTATCTTGTCTTTCGCCTGAAGGAAAGTTACCAGATTAATAATTAAAACCAATAACCAGGCCAATATTTTGTTCCCCACTGACCAGCTTCTAGACACTACGAGAGCTGAGTGTTCAACCACACACACGCTGTACTTAAGCAACTAAACCAGGAAATGTATATTGTTTGGCAGGTGCAGCGAAGGACGACACCCCAGCCACTCACACACTATTCTGGGGAACTCAAAACATCACTCCTGGGAATGTGTTGGCGTTTATTTGTAGACGTATTGTTATTATCACTCGAAGGGAAGACGTCGTTACCACAACTTGAGCTCACCAGTTGCGAAAGTGTGATTGTCGCTTCCTATTCTTATACACGACTCCTGCCGTCAGTATCCTAATATAATACTTAAATCTTTGTGAAATCAAGAGCAAACGGTGGGCGGTGGTGTTTGTCGAGGTGTAGTGGCAACTAGCACCATAGGTATCTAATGATTGTGGCTGACTCCCGTCTTCCAAAACTGTGCGGTGTCATCGACAATACTACACTAAATTCGACAATTCCAAAATATCACTACGAACTAGTACTGTATTAAAACTTTTGAAAGGCATTTAGGAATAGCAATAAATTTCAGTTCCATGTATTTGTTCGTTCATAAAAGTCCGACAACAAAAGCCTTTAAACCCAATTCCCATTGTGCAAGGTTTATGCAACAGGTGCGTCCATCAGTGGATCGGGGATCGCTCGTGGACGGTAGTGGCAGCCAGTGTATTGTGTAGGTCAGTAGGTGGGCAGGGCGCTTACAGGAGGATTACCAACACAAACACGTGCCTCTCCATCACCAACGCCACCCCACTCCTCACAACCCTACCAACACCTCCCTCTCACACACTCCACTTCTCCGGTTACAACATTCCGTAACTCAGAAGCCGTCGCGATCTTAACTTCACTTAACAGTCACTTCGAGATGCTTTCTGGGCGAGATGCTACAGGTGCCTCTAACAAACAGGTTCCACGCTGACGGCGATCTTGGGGCTCCTGACGATGGCGTGTGTAGTAGAGGCAGCACTGTTCAGATGGCCGGTTGTGTTAGGAGGGCAACAGGCACTTGGTGGGCTGTTGGGGCCAAATGGAGGTGAGGTCGGGGCAGCTAGTGTGAGAGCCGGGAAGGTGGCGGTGTGGAGGTGAGGGTGGAGAGAGCAGACCGCAGCGCCCCGTGTGCACCGCGTCTTCCCCGCCAGGAATGACGAGGGTCTGCTCCCCAGGGCTCACTCCCGACCAACACCACCTGTTATCGATCACGCTCACCCACACCCTCTCTTGACCCTACGCACGCTCCTGACCCCCCCTGTCCTGACCCCACGCCGCTCTCCTGACACCAAGGCCCCCTCCTGACCACTCTGTTCTGACCCCACGCTGCTCTCCTGACCACTCTGTCCTGACCCCACGCTGCTCTCCTGACTACTCTGTCCTGACTCCACGATGCTCTCCTGACCACTCTGTCCTGACCCGAGGCTGCTCTCCTGACCCACCTGCTCTCCTGACGCTGCTCTCCTGGCCACTCTGTCCTGACCCCACGCTGCTCTCCTGACCACTCTGTCTGGCCCCACTGTCTCCTGACCTCCTGACCCACGCTGCTCTCCTGACCACTCTGTCCTGACCCCTGCTCTCCTGACCCCCACGCTGCTCTCCTGACCCACTCTGTCCCTGACCCCACACCTTCTCCCCCTGACCACTCTGTCCCTGACCCCTTGTCTCTCCCTGATCCCCCTGTCCCCTGGCCCCGCCGCTCTCTGACACACCACACGGCCCCCCTCCTGACTTCTCTGTTTCTGACCCCACAATGCTCTCCCACAGCCACTCTGTCCAGACCCCGCCCCTCCCCCCAGCCACTCTGTCCTGACCCCAAGCTGCTCTCAGACCCTTTGTCCTGCCCTCGCCCCTCTCCTGACCCTCTGTACGATGTCCTGACCCCGCTACTCTCCAGACTTCCCTCTGTCCTGACCCTACGCTTGGCTCTCCTGACCACTCTGTCCCGGCCCCACTTCTGACCACTCTGTCCTGACCCCTACGCCACTCTCCTGACCCTCTGTCCTGACCCCTTGCTCTCCTGACCCTCTGTCCTGACCCCCACGCTGCCTCCTGACCACTCTGTCCTGACCCCTTTGCTCTCCCCACCTGTCCCGGCCCACGCCGCTCTCCCCTGACACCCGGCCCCCTCCCCTGACCCCTACTTTCTGTTCTGACCCCACGATGATCTCCTGACCACTCTGTCCTGACCCCACGCCCTCTTTGACCACTCTGCCCTGACCCCCAAGCTGCTCTCAGACCACTGTCCTGCCCTCACGCCCCTCTCCTGACCACTCTGTCCTGACCCCATGCAGCTCTCCAGATTACTCTGACCACTCTGTCCTGACCCCCACGCTGCTCTCCTGACCCCACGCTGCTCTCTGACCCCACGCCGCTCTCCAGATTACTCTGTCCTGACCCTACGCGGCTCTCCCTGACCACTCTGTCCTGACCCCATGCTGCTCTCCTGACCATTCTGTCTGACCCTATTACCCTCTCCTGTCCTCTGTCCTGACCCCACTGCTCTCCTGACCACTCTGTCCTGACCCCTCAGTCTTGACCCCCCCAAAGTTGCTCTCCTGACCACTGTCCCTGACCCCACGATGCTCTCCCTGACCACTCTGTCTGTGCCTGTGTCGACCCCTGATGCTCTCCTGACCACTCTGTCTTGACCCCACACTGCTCACCTGACCACTCTGACCTGACCCCCACACCCTCTCCTGACCCTCTGTCCTGACCCCACTGCTCTCTGACGCCATGCTGCTTTCTGACCACTCTGTCCCTGACCCTACGCCCTACACTCTCTGACCACTGTGTCCTGACCCCGCTGCTCTCCTGACTTCTCTGTCCTGTCCCTACCTGCTCTCCTGGCCACTTGTCCCTGACCCTATGACCACTCTGTCCTGACCCCTACGCTGATCTCCTGACCACTCTGTCCCTGACCCTGCTTGCTCTGCTGACCTTGTCCTGACCCTACGCCCCTCTCGTGACCACTCTGTCCCTGACCTACGCCACTCTCCCTGGCCACTCTATCCTGACCCCACACTGCTCTCCCTACAGCCACCCTCCCTGTCCCTGACCCTCGCTGCTCTCCCTGACTTCTCTGTCCTGACCCCACGCCCCCTCCAGCCAGCCACTCTGTCCTGATCCTGCCACTCTCCTGACCCACTCTGTCCCTGACCCCTCTGCTCTCCTGACCACTCACGCTGTCCCCATTACGCTGCTCTGACCCCTCGTTCTTGACCCACGCTGCTCTCCTGACCCCACTCTTCTGACCTCTGTCCTGACCCCGCCGCTCTCCCTGACCCCTCGGTCTTGACCCTCGCTGTCTCTCCTGACCTCTGTCCTGACCCCACGATGCTCTTCTAACCTCTCTGTTCTGACCCGCCGCTCTCCTGACCCCTCAGTCTTGACCCCCCTCTCCTACAGCCACTCTGTCCTGACCCCACGCTGCTCTCCTGACCTGCTCTCCCTGACCCTCCTGGCCCCGATGCTCTCTTGACCACTCTGTCCCTGACCCCACGCTGCTCTTCTGACCTCTCTGTCCGGACCCTACGCCGCTCTCCTGGCCTCTTCCCTCCTGACCACTCTGTCCTGTCCCCCGCGCCCTCCTGACCCTCTGTCCTGGACCCCACGCCCCTCCCCACAGCCCTCTGTCCTGACCACTCCCTGACGCCCGCCTCCCTCCTGACCACTCTGTTCCTGACCACCCATTCCCCCCCCATATTCCCCCACTACTCCACCATATCCCCACACCACTCCACCATATCCCCACCCTCCTGCCATATCCCCCCACCCCTCCCTGTACCTCCCACCCCCCTCAACCCCCCACCCTCCTGCCCCCACCCCTCCACCCATACCCCACCCCTCCATCGCTTTAAACTCGCGTCTAACAAAGACACCGTTGAATACAATTTGGGTCTGTCAAAAAGAACCCTTAAACTGTAATTAGGAAAAGAACTTATTGATGAGTTTGACGCAAGTAGACAAGTGCAAACAGGCACTAGTCGATCCATAGGTTACCATGATGAGATGTATCAAGTGAAACATGTATATGGAGCAAGTAACAAGATCACTAGATTACAAGATGTTGTAACCGCTAGATTAAGGTTAGGATATAAGTACCTTTGGCGGTATGTTCCCTCAAACAGATGTAAACAAAACTAAATGTAAAGTGTGTGGCCATACATATGGCCACACACTTGAACACTACGTCCTCGACTGTGTGAAGATAGAACCTTTTAGGGACAGGTCCAAGCACACTGTGTGTGAAATGGCACAACACTTCATCTCTAATGGCAAGATAGCCGACATATTAAGATTGTATCCACTTTTTTGCACTTAGTAACTATATCAATACTCATGTACAGAACCAAATACGCAATGTGCTTGAATACCTCTCACGTAAATGTGAATAACAAAGTGTGAGGCCAGACATACTGCCTCACAAGCCTGTACTCACGCATTTGTGAATAAGTTACCCTTTATGTATAGAACTAAACAAATAATGTAAATGAAATACTGTGTAACTTTCAGTGCCATAATATCCTGACAACGAGGGTTAATTATTATGACCCTTCGTAAACCCTACTCTGTAATCCTTTTGCGCTACCGCTCACAGGATGAGTGTGGGGTGCACAATAAAGTAGCCGCTGCAAGCGGCAAAATCAAAATCAATCCTCCACCATACCCCCACACCCCTCCACCATACCTCCACACCCCTCCACCATACCCCCACACCCCTCCACCATACCTCCACACCCCTCCCCATACCCCCCCCACCTCCCATACCCCCACACCTCCACCATCACCTCCACCCCTCCCACCCTTACCCCCCACACACCCCTCCCACCATACCCCACCCCTCCACCATATACCCCCACACCCCTCCACCATATACCCCCACACCCCTCCACCATACCCCCACACTCCTCCACCTCTA